AAGCACAGATTGTATTGAACATAATATATTGATCTTCGTATTGATGTTAATACAAGTACTTTGCACAAATTATACTTAATTGTTTTTTTTTCACATTTTTAGCTCACAAGTGAGCTTTTCTGATCAAAATTTGTCCGTTGTCTGTCGTCGTTGTTGTCGTTGTTGTCGTCGTAAACTTTTCACATTTTCATCTTCTTCTCAAGAACCACTGGACCAATTTCAACCAAACTTGGTACAAAGTATCCTTGGGTGAAGGGGATTCAAATTTGTTCAAATGAAGGGCCAGGCCCTTTTCCAAGGGGAGATAATTATGAATTAGAGAAAAATTAATGACATTTTTAAAAAATCTTCTTCTCAAGAACCACTGGGCCAGGAAAGATGAAACTGATGTGGAATCATCCTCAGGTAGTGTAGATTCAAGTTTGTTCATATCATGACCCCCGGGGGTAGGGTGGGGCCAAAATGGCCGTTCAAAGTTTTACATAGGAATATATAGGGAAAATCTTTAAAAATCTTCTTCTCAAGAACCACTGGGCCAGGAAAGATGAAACTGATGTGGAATCATCCTCAGGTAGTGTAGATTCAAGTTTGTTCAAATCATGACCCCCGGGGGTAGGGTGGGGCCCAAATGGCCGATCAAAGTTTTACATAGGAATATATAGGGAAAATCTTTAAAAATCTTCTTCTCAAGAACCTTTGGGTCAGGAAAGATGAAACTCATGTGGAATCATCCTCAGGTAGTGTAGATTCAAATTTGTTCAAATCATGACCCCTGGGGGTAGGGTGGGGCCAAAATGGCCAATCAAAGTTTTACATAGGAATATATAGGGAAAATCTTTAAAAATCTTCTTCTCAGGAACCTTTGGGTCAGGAAAAAGAAACTGATATGGAATCATCCTCAGATAGTGTAGATTCAAGTTTGTTCGATGACCCCCAGGGGGTAGGGTGGGGCCAAAATGGCCGATCAAAGTTTTACATAGGAATATATAGGAAAAATCTTTAAAAATCTTCTTATCAAGAACCACTGGGCCAGGAAGAAGTAGAACGCATGTGGAATCATCCTCAGGTAGTGTAGATTGCAGAGTTTGTTCAAATCATGACCCCCGGGGGTTGGGTGGGGCCAAAATGGCCGATCTAGGGTTTGCAGGAAGGGATTGTATTAGGAAAAATCTTTAAAAATCTTCTTCTCAACAATGACAAAGCCATAATTCATCATATTTATATGGAAGCATGCTCAGGTAGTGTAGATTCAAGTTTGTTCAAATCATGACCCCCGGGGGTGGGGTGGGGCCAAAACGGCCGATGAAAGTTTTACATAGGAACATAGGGAAACCTTTTAAAATCTTCTTTTCAAGTACTTCAAAGCCAGGCTTCGTTATATTTATTGGGAATCATCCTCAGGTAGTGTAGATTCAAGTTTGTTCAAATCATGACCCCCTAGGGGGGGGTTGTGAAATTCAAGCCACCCCCCCCCCCCCCCCACACCCAGTTTACTTTTATTTCTGATCTGATCTGTGTTTTTTCCTAGCCAATTGCTCAGGTGAGCGATGTGGCCCCTGGGCCTCTTGTTTCTTTATCTTATTAGAGAGTACATGTAACACAAAGTTTTGCTGGAAAAAAATGACTTTAATACACATATTACAGATTTCTAATATTTTGGAATTCCCTAGTGATTTAGAAATGAGCCCCTGGTTGAAAATTTTTGAGGGGAGATTCCGTGAAAATTAACATTTAGAATAACTGTCCAGGAAGGCAGTGTGGCCTTGCTGCTTTCATCTCTGAGTCTGTTACTCAGTACCGTATATGATTTTGCTTAGAACTTTCTGTGATGTTAGCTTTTATGAGAGTTGAGTTACTTAACGTAGGTCGCGGGTTTACAGGGCTTTTGAAAGTGTTCAAAAACATACCATGAAAATTACCTATATGATTTCTCTACCTTTGATTTCCATCCTCTGAAAATTTCATAAAATTCGTCTGCACCGTTTTTGTGTAATTGAATTCCAAAGATGTCATTGTTGTAGTTACATTTTCAATGGTATTCTATTGAATTGTATAGGAAAAACGTCGTTTTTGGCTTGTTTTCAGGCAGGACTTTGATTTAAAAAATATTAATAACTTTTAAATCGTGCAGACGAATTTGTTTATCCTTTGGTATTTTAAATTAGAATTGATTTGAAATAAATCTATGTGATAAAATTAATATGTCTTCGGGTTCATTTTCTCGTAATCAAATTGTAAATAATTGCTTTTATATTGAAAAATGTTGCATTTTTAAGAACGTCATAAAATATCGCGACGTCACGCTTGACGTCGTGAATATCGACCCAGTATACAGAGCACAAAAAAAATTATACGGATTTTTAAGAAAAAGGAAAATCATGTATATCTGCTTTCAAATGACCAGTATCATATTAATAATTCAATAAAATAACTATTAGACATTTTTCCCTTTCAGCTTATTATGTCTAATTTTAGTGAAAATTCACGTAAACGACGTAAACCAACAATCAATCCTTTAGTTCCTTTTTTTTTAAATTTTCTTTATGTGTGGGTTATTTCTTACCGTTTCTTTTTATTCATGCGCGGATTCTCGCCGAAATTTGGAAAATAAAAGTGACCTTGTATTCCCCCCTGGAAAAGGCAGACTCTCCATCTCTATTGAAATCGCAGATCTGTGATCTAAGTTTGTTTGAAAAGTCATAGGTATGAAGATAATTTAGAAGTCAAGGACTACTAACATCCCCAACCCTCAACACCGAAATATGTTTTTTACGCTTTGTATATATCTTTCTTAAGAAAATTCAGCAAGGGTATCAAATCAACTTCTGATGAATCAATTTCCGTCAAATAACCCCCCCCCCCCCCCCCCCCCGAGTATGAGTATTAATGCATTCAGTGTTTATATGGAAAATGTTTTTGTTTACAAAGAGGCAGCAAATAGGCTTAAAAAATAAATCTTAATTTGATTTTATTTTATGATTAATATACTATAACGATAGAAAAAATGCACACTTAAAAGGAATTTAGAGGGGTAAATGGGACGATAATTTAAACATTAGATTTATTTGGCACAATCAACAGGCAGATTTTATTTTGTTGTTAGACTTTCAATGTATAAATATAACATTAATTCTACTGAATGAACATGGAAAGCAACGCAGCGAATAAAATATCTACATGTAACTAAGAACAACGCGTGCGGTTACTTACACAGGCAATTGGAGTATCGACCCCCCCCCTTTCTGATTTTCTGGGGGTTTCCCTATTTTGGATTTTTAATACGTATTGCATGTTATTAATAATGTTACCCTTTTATCTCTTTACACTGTTTTTAAAAAAACGTTTTTCGTTTTCGACTGATACATAAAAAGAGACGGCTTGTTATTTGTTTTTATTCTCGACGTCTGCCTCACAATCTTCACTTGCATGATCACTATCTAAAGCGTAGAGAATCATGGAATATGCAGACATTGATAAATTTGAAAAACACTCTTTTTCCTTTTCAGATTTCCATTTATATAATTCTTTATGTACCTCCGATTAGTAAATATTTCGATTAAATCAACGGTCACATATAGGGTGGAGTTAAAATTTAAAAAATGGAAAAAGTTTACTCATCCCTGGCGTTAGGAAGTAAAAAAAGGAAAAGAGGGAGGGGGTCATATCCTACGTGCCTGTGGTTATTTACAAGAGGTCAATGCCACTCAAAAAATGTATATATAATATATATATATTTAGTTTATGTTTCATTCAGATTACCCCGGAGGTGCCTTAGCAGTTTTTAATTTGTGATCAACCTTTATATAGATTTGTCTGAGATTAGCACATACCGTTTCATAATTGAGTTCGACTTTCAAAGTTTTGACGCTGTTTACGGAGAGAAATGAAAACAAAGACATGCATGCCATATATTGTTGTGTAGATATATTATCGTAGAAGACAATGCTAATAAACAGTTTGTTTAGTGCATTTCCACTGAAAGTGTACAATAAAATGAGTGCGTTTCTGAGGAGGGGGTATCGAGTGTAATTCGGAGTTAGATAACCTGTTTTAAAATTATACTCATTTAATACATGTACCAGTATTTAATATATATAAATCATACATGATACAAGGTTTAAAATTTATTTCCGAAACAAGTACATGTGCTCTCAGAATAGACCCGAGAAGATGCGATTGATGATACATAATGAAACGCTTCCAACACTTTCAGTGATGGTCACTCGAATCAAAATAAGCCTTCATTATTTTTATAACTTCAGCATGTTCTATGAATATGTTACACTAAACTATCAATTTCAACAAAAGTTACAGCTAGATAATGTACTGAAATTTTCCCTTTCTCGCCGTGACGTCATAATCAGATGTGCACAAGAAAGTCGCCCAAATCATATAAATTGCGTACCCAGTTTTAATGACGTCAGCAAACCCGCGACCTACGTTAAAGAAAAAAAAACCCAATAATCTATTTTATTTTGTAATGTAGAAAGCTTGCATTAAGTCATGCCAAAAATATTGTTTATAATTGCCTCATATTTTATCAAAAGAACTCTCTCCTGATAAAATTCAATGGACCAAAAATGAGATTTTCATTTAAAGTAATCAATTCTTGGCCTTCCAAAAAATGTACCGGTATCTATTGTGAGAGAAAATTAGTTGAAAATACAGGCCTGCTCTATTGGTTTACATGCTTGTCAATAAACTTGTTTCAGTGTTTATAAATGATATTATGTATGTAATAATATTTTTGTATTAAAGTAAAATGAGTCCTCCTACTTTGTCAATAAATCTGTGTTTTTTGTTTTATTACAGGAAATGGAAGCTGCCAACCCCGACGTGAATTTCGTCAAGGTTGATGTTGATGAAAATTCTGAAAGTCTCTGATTTAAATGAAAGATGGAAGATTCACATATCAAATTTGTATAATTTTTTAATGAAATTATCTCTTGATCTAGAAATTTTATAATGAAATTATAATGATGATGGTTATGTTTTTGTGGTAGGATACTGCTGAAGCCTGTGGAATCTCAGCCATGCCAACATTTCACTTCTACAAGAATGGGGAAAAGGTTGGTAGAGAGCTGTTGATAGTTATATACTGTAGATTCCTTATTTTTCGTGGGTACTTGTCGTGAAATGGCTCTTTAACATCAAATAGTGAGAATATGAATTCACAAAAAGGCAGTTGATCAAGAGAATAAACATGGGTTTCAGCAACATTAAAACAAAAGCAAGTTATACTATTTCGAGAGTGATGCTTCCCGCAAAATTACGCGGTAATAAATTCCTCTAATTAGGAATTTAGAGTATCGTATTCTTAGATATTCATATGAAAAAAGTTTCTTTGCCTAGAGAAGAAAAATGCATGATTTGATGCATAATTGTAATTATGAAATGTTCTTTTAAAATTAATTTTAAAGCTGTTTCCTTTAATGTCTTTATATTAAATTAATATATTTTTTTTGTATCTTTTTTTTTTAGCTGGATGAAGTAGTTGGAGCAGATGAGGGAAAAATCCAAGAATTAGTAGCAAAGCTTAAATAAATTTGAGAAATCATGTTAGTTAAAAAAATTTCTTTATGATGTATAATTGTTGTAATAGATATTTATCTACCTTTTCTGTAAATTCGGAGTTTGACTGTGATGAATACCAGAAATTTTGCCATGTGAAGGGCATTTTATTTCCATTGTTTAGTGTTTATAATTAGGTAGGATACATTTGAATTTATTTTTAGTTTCGATTTGAATAACATTATGCAGTTGTTTCATACTATGGAAAATTTTACTAGCTAGGAGTATACATTAAATACAAAGTACTTTGAAGACATCAAAAAAGGGTATTTTAGAAAAAAAGTAATTTATACATTGTATACATGATAGCATTCTTATCAAGGTATTGATAATCATGAATTTCTATTTTACAGTATTGCACATTGTGGCCTTTTTTTTGCACCATTATGCAATAAAATCTTTACAATCAAAGTTTTGTCATATATTTTAATATTTGCTACCTACGGAAATACTTGCAGTGTGGTTACACACCCATTCTCAATATAAGGGCACAAATGCCTCTCTGATTTTTTAAAAATGAAGTTCAAGATAACAATTTTTCTATCAATTACCTTTGAAAGAAAGTATCTGAAGATTTTGTTTCCAGATTTTTTTTTCATCAAATTTTAATACATGGAATAATGACAAGACGGTAAAGTACAGGGTGATTTTATTCAGAAATGTAGCTTGAAATGTACGTTACTCTTTCTTCAATGTCCAAAAAGATATGTTAAAAAAATGTAGTCATTAAAATCACAATTGGAATATCTCATCTTAACACCAGCACATCCTACCAACTCTGTCAGCAACATATTTTCTCGGCATACGAACGTGCGTTTGATTTTTCCTTTCAAAAAACAAAGTTTACTTTTTGATCCAGATATATAAAAACATTTTTTATAACATATGCTTTAAATTCTTCTCTCTGTTTTGTTTAGAGAGAACAGTTTGGAATCTTGTCATTTTCTATAGATACTGGAACTTAACATGTACATGTAGTAAAATTCTATTTTTTTAGTTACTGTCTTTTTTAACATATATCCATGCCGATTTAGAAAACTACGTAAATTTAACGTACATTTCAAGATAATATCATATTTCTGTTTAATAAAAAGCTTAAAATTCATCTAAAAATCAATTGTTTTGTTTCAGTTTATTCCAAAAAAGATTCTCTATGTCATCACATTGTGTTGTATGTCACAATCACCACTATAAAGACACAATTGCCTCAGAATATGAGTAGGTAACGTA